TTTTTGGTGATTAAAAGAACTAAAAGAACAACAAAATATTTTGTTTTAAAAACAAATAGATTTATAATGAAAACAAATGCAAAAAGTTATAGAAACAAATAAATTATTACCTAAAACAAATGTAAACTGTTTTAACAACAAAATAATATTGTATGAGATATCAATAATATTAGTTACTTTAAACAAGACGACATAGTTTTGTCAACAAAAAATATTAGTTACAGTAACATTTTATGTCTCAACAAAAAAAATTTGTTGTTGTAACAAAGATTTTAGTTGAGGCTATAGCTACAAATAAAATTTGTTGGCGCAACTTTTTTTTAGTTGCTTAAACAAATTATTTTTTTCAGTGTACTATAACAACTGCGCATTACTTTATGTAAGCGCAATTCACATTCAACTATAGATTTAATATAAATTGGACGCGTTTCTGCAGAAAGGAACCAACCCACAAAACCAAAAAAATCGAGATATTTAGCCTATGAACTAATTAACTATGTATAATTTATCTGCAAAATAGGTCATAGCCAAAATGCAAGTGTAGTGAAATCTATTAATCATTGAACCAACCAACATTCAATAATAGTGTGGATTACTAATCCAGAATTAGAATCTGTAGAATATCTGCAAGTGGGTTAAATCTTTTTTGTAAAAAAGCAGGCTGGTAGACCCACTACCAAAGTCTTTAAAGATTTCCTGCTTCTGCAAAATATAAAGTCTTGATGCATTTTTTTGGTAGCTTACAAGATGAGGTGGGGTTGGAAGATGATGTGGACGAGTTTCAAATAGAATTAAAATTAATTCATATTACCATTATAATAGTAATATCAGTATGTTTGGAAATAAATAATTGTCGCTTTTCTTTAAATACATACATACATCAGATAGTAGTTTTCATAAATTGCAGAAAGGAACCAACCAACAAAAGCCCATTTTTTTTGTCACCCTTACACATAACATCACAAAATCCACTTGATGAAATTATTAAATTATATCCCTTAAACCTCCGTAAGTCCAAAATCGGCATAAAATTAACAGGTAATTTTTAAATTATTAAAATCTTTGATAGCTTTTTTCTTAGTTTCATCATGGTGTGGGTTGGTCCCATTCTGCAGAAAGCAGTCCAATTATAAAAAAAATAATTGACCCCGGCGCATTCACCATTTTTGATAAAACGTGCTTATTTCCCACTTCCAGCACCACTTATAAGCTACAGCAGTTACTGTTAATAGGTGTAGCCCGTAATCCAGTATCAGGCGTAAATCACTTAATTTGTAGCAAGCTGTGGCGCTAGTGGCCGCGGTGTCAACATTAAATCGACTATTATTTTGACCCATGCCGCAACTTGCTTGAAGACATTTGAGAGAGAGAATTTAGGGTCAAGGACGCAACAAAAGTAAGAGTTTTACTTAACCGAATAAGATAGGATATGTTTATTGGGTAGACATACACAAAAACTTGTGTCTCATAAAACGGCTGTAAAGTTGGAGGATCATGATAAATGTTCGTATAAATTATATTACCTACGAAATGTAGGTGAGTTTTAAGGTACTCCTACACAAATTTAACAAAGTTTAAAGGTCAAGGGTCAAATGAAAAAAGTAAAAAGCCCGTGACTAAAACGCCATAAAGTCACAGCTCGTCAATGAAGGAGTTAATAAACATATTTATAGTGCGATTTATTTTAAAGAATTTAAAAGTTTTTTTCCCAGATAAACCTTGATTGTATAAACTGCAAGGTCGGGGCCAACTTGTTTTTGTAATAAACCAAAAGCTGTTAACTATTTATAGCACTTAAGTATCAACATGTAGGAACTTGAGAAAAAATGGGTTACAAACCGTTTTATGGGTTACTATGATACTAATATTTGTTTACCAATTTGTTTTACGAATTTATTGTTAAAACTGTTTAGTTGAACATTTATTTATTTATTATCCAAGTTCCTTATGATTTGAAATTTTATAAACACTATACGAAAAATATTATACCTAAAATGTAAATTGGCCACATACAAACTAAGCATTTTATTCATAGTAATGGATTAATGAATTTGGCATTTAATAAAACTTTGCATTGCAATCGTACAAGTGCACATGTACAATGAACAAACAAAACAAATCAAATCACAAACAGCGTATGAAACACTTTAATAACACGTTAAACATTTAACACAATTATTTGTACCAATGCCATTGTTTGCGTTCCTACGAGTTGAATTATTAAAATTTTTCTTGACCCTGAAAACATTTAATTTCCTGGTTTAATCAACAAACCTTTGGACGGGATTAGCTACAAGGTAAAACAACATGGTTGCTTATATTTCATGTTTTATAGATTTTTTGAAAATTATATTAAATTAACCATGTTCTTTGTATAAAAAGATTTTCCCGAATATTTACTTTTTTTTTAAATCTATAGGATTGAAGCACCGGATATTTTTATGATTTTTTAATCAAAGAAAGGAAAAGTGTTTATTGAGGCGAGAAAATAATAATAGAAAAAAACGAAAGTATTCACTTCAATCTATGCTTTTACAATGACTTAAACACCTATAGGTATACTGATTAATTAGTACATAATAACTAATAAATTAATTAAATAGAAATTGGTTTATTTAAATAATGTAGTTAATCAAATTATGTATTCAAAAAATGATATTTTTTATTAATAACCGGTCCTTATCATATATAATTTATATTATGTCTGTGTATGAATTTTAATTAGTGGATGAGTATTACATATATACAGTGTGTCCCATTTGTTTGCGACTCACCACCCCTGCAAAATATTTATTTGTTGTGCGATTTTAACCCATATTTTTAAAAAATACAAGGCCTACTATATCAGTATATTTTTAAGAATTTATATTAGGTATTTAAAAAAAATCTATTGCGTTTTTTAGTTGTCAAAACTAAGCATACTTTACTACAAATAAAGATTTAGTGTTAATTAATCAAACCAGGACCCACACCGTTTGCAGGATTACCTTGTAAACAGACTAACTAATTATTATTGCATTTGTCTATTTGTACCTAGTTTTCTTACATTTGTTTATTAGTAGTTTTTTTGAATATTTATATATACCTTTTTGGACGTGTTCAACATTGTAAACATTACAATCTTTCTGAACTAATAAATCTATTCTATTTTACACTGTTAAAAATTTCTATTGTAATTTTACTAAACATGTTTTTACGCACCACAATATATATATATATTACTATAGTAACAATAAAGCTCAGTTTTGTAAATTCACTACACGATTCATTACAACTTAATTTGGGAAAATTACAAAACGTTGGTTGAAATTCACTAAGCATTTATTAAAAATTTGTTCAGTAACATTACTATACAGGTATTGTAATTTTACTAAAAAAAAATACTAAATTTGTTTAGTAATTTTAAAATGGGGTATTGTAATTATACTACCTATACAATTCATTTCAACTCAGTTTAAGAAAATTACAAAAATATTTTATAATTTACTGAACTGAAGAAAATTTATTTCGCAATATTACAATACAAATATTGTTATTTTGTACAACAAATTACACTAAAAATATTTAGTAATTTACGAATGATGGTATTGTAATTATATATAAAAAAACGGTTTTTTTCAGATGTGAAAAAAAACATGAAAAAAAAAACTAGAAAAAAAACGGTGTTTTTTGTTTTTTTTTCAAAATAAAATTTTGAGTAAAATGTAGAATATATTACATTTGTCATTATTGAAAATTTCTTATTATTTGGTAGTTTCCACATTAAAAACCAATAAAACTTCTACACTAATACAAAAAATTTAAGGATACATTTTTTTTTTGTGATTTTTCGGATAGCTGTATATTTGTTAAAAATGGTCGTATTGGAGCAAAAAGCAATACCGTAATAAAAAAAATCGATTTTTTTTTAATTTATTTTTTGGTCCACGGAATGTTCTGACCACTAATGAAGAAATTTTCTACAAGAATTTGCTATTGTTTTTTGAAAAAAAATTCCATACTCTACATGAATTTGAAAAATCATGAAAATAGTGCTTTTGGTAGCTTTTTGAAAAATCAAGCGCTGAATCAAAAATATTATATGTAGTTACTTTTTTTAGGACCAAATCAAAACAAGAGCGGCCCTTATTGGTCAAATGGTTGTGGCGAATGCATAACGCGAGACTGTATTTACATTTAATAATTGTCATTTAGTGGCTAATTTTAGTCCATGGAAACATAAAAAATTAGGCAAATGTTTTTTTTCAAGTCGCATCTCTAATTAGTATACACTGATTTGAAATTTTACTCATACTCGTTTCCAAAAACTCCTCAAAACTGGATTTAAAATTTGTTAAAATTATGTACCAAACGATGAGTTAACATTTTGGAGATTTTGAAGATAATTGAGCGAAAATGCGTATAGGAACTAAAAGAAAGTAAAAGATGAAGTGAAGAAGATCAAGAAGGGAGCGCATGGTGCAGAAAGAAAGAAAGAAAGGAGAAGCGATGGAAGAAGAAGTTGGGCAAAAGAAGAAGAAGATGTAGCGAGCGAGAAGGACTAGATGGCGAACGCGAAGAGTGTGTGGCTAGGCGCGCGACCTGAAATCGATAAGCGACCGCGCGCTCCGGCAGTAAGCAGAGTTCATGAGCCGATTTCAAGGACAAGGCCAACAAACGCGAGTTCTCGGCGCGGCGCACAGGCCGCGGTCGCGTTGCCAGTGTTATTCTCGTTCGTACTCTCGCCTGGCCAAGCCGCCGCCTCGCCACCCTCGCCACGCAGTGACAGTGCACCCCGAACGCACGCAAATGCATGGGCAGCAGCTACGGCCACCCCTGCGGCGCAAGCGCGCCCCTTTGGAACTCCGCCGAACTGCATTTTCCTTTTGATTTCACTTTCATTCGGCCCGCGGACTTACCCCGAAACGCGTGTGCTCCGCAACCACCGCGCCAGTGCGTCATGATACACTCGGTTTACTACTAACTCCACTGACAACAGTTTTACCACGTAAAGTGACAATATGCAAACCACCACGATAGTGTTTAAGACTGACGTCGTCAAGGAATTCCGGATACCCTCTGGTGCTATTGTGTCGTCCACTTCTTCGCCGCCCGGCTCCTCCACCATGAGACCGCCGCCGCCGCCGCCGCCCCCTAAACTTAAAATTCTCGAGAACAAGCTCGAAGAGCCCTCCAGCTCTATCCCAGATCTCGGTAAGTCCAAACCAAAGCCAAAATAAACTTCTAAAAGTTTAAAATCTTAATAGTATATTAAAGAACTATTTTGCAAAAAATTTTAGTTTAGATAATTAGTATCTCAGTCATTGGTTTGACAGTTAATGTCAAAATAGATTCGCCATGCCGTCCTTAATTTACTTATTTACAATAGGCGGCTGTTAATGTTAAAGAAGAAAAAAAGGATTTTCTTTGGTGTCAAACAAAATTATTGCCAGAAAAGTCTCGTAAGTACTAGAAAAATCATAAAAATATTATAACCAATATGCAAAATATTATGCTGTTTAAAGTATAGCCAACGTATAAAATCAAAATTTTGGGTTGGATAAAGTATCTCATTACAGCACCGAAAGCGGTGTTATAATGAAGTCATTATGAACGCAAAATAATTTTAAATAACAATTCGTTAGAAAATCCATCAACTAATTCACTCAAAATGTTTAAATAATAAATTAAAAAAATGGTACTTTTAAAATATATAATAATTATTATATTAATAAATACTTTGATTGGCCCTTTAAAAACTGGAATATTATAATAAATAATGAAGTATAAACTTATATTAAGTAAACTTATAAATAAACAGGGTGCGCCAAGTATATGTATGGGTATTTTTTATTTGAAAAACTAAAAGTTGCCTAATTAAAAGTATATTAAAATGGCATTTAAAATTAGGAAAAAAAACAAAACCAATAATTGTTATTTTGAGTTTTGGAAAAAAAAGTTTCACATTTTCTTTCAATTTGTGATATTTTCGCCTACTAGATTTTGAATTACCTTTTGTTTTTCATATGGCCGCCATTTTTAAATTTTTTACATGGTAAGATCAACTACCTTAGTTAAAAAAGTTTTAAATTTATGTACATTTTTATAAAATTTCTCTAAAAACGAATGAGTCAAAAATTACTAATTACTGCAGTTATCAGTGGCTTCTTTTTCACTTATACCATAGTTAACCATGAAATTCCATGGTATCATCAACATATAATATCCAATTCTAATGTAAAATTGTCCCCTGAATCCAAAAATACCGTCAAAAATTATGAAAGTAGAGCAGTTTTTGAGATATAGTCAACTCCATATTATATGGAAAATTGACTATATGTTCTATATGTTCTAATTTTATAACTTTTGACGACATTTTCGGATTCAGGGGACAATTTTACATGGAAATTGACTGCTAAATGTCCGGGATGCAAATTGCTATTCACGATAATTATTAGTGGCTGCTTTTTCTCTATGACATTAGTCACTTTTGACTAATTCATTTTTAACGAGTTTTTGTTTTAGATATTTTTTAATTTATTAATTTCATTTTAATAGGATTTTTTTTAATTTAACCGACCCTGTAATACAGGACCTGTATACCGTTATAATACAAAAACTAAAAAAACAATTATTTAAATATTTTAAAATTTAACGCAATTTATTTAAAAATTTTACTGAAAATTCAAAATTTGTAATTTGCCCCAAATTTTTCATGCCATTTTTTGTCAAGTCAGTTACTTATTTTTCCATGTTTCAAAATTATTAATATTATGATATGATTCCTTTTAAAAGTTTTTAATATTTGTTTCAAGGTCCAATTTGTTATTTTTTCCTAAAAAAAACTGAAAAAAGTATTGTTTTAATGTCCAAAATTAAAATAAAAATTTTCTCAAATTTTCCGGAGAAAAATTCATTGAAAATTTCCATTTTTAAATATATAAAAATATTTTAACATAATACAAAATTTCCCATAGGGGCATTCCACGTTACTCGGTAATTTTTGTCCCGCCCGTCACAATTAAAAATTGTGAGTAAAAACCAAGTTATAAAATTAATATTTTATAATATTATTTTTATTGTGCTTATAACTTATTAAAAGCATAATAAAACAATATTTTTAAATAAATTTTATAACGTGTAGTTTTTACTCACAATTTTTAATTGTGACGGGCGGGACAAAAATCCCCGAGTAACGTGGAATGACCCCATACCAACCTTTGAGCCCAAAAATTAAATGAATACCAAATTGTTGAAAACTTAATTTTAAAAATATTTGGTAATTTCCTTGTATTCTGTATCCTGACCACGATCGAAATTTCAAACATATTCGCCAGGTAGATATTGTTAAATGTAATAAGTGGTCAAAATTAGAAAAGCTCGAAAAGATTATTAATTGCATAAGATTGTTGAATTTATTATTCACGTTGTTAGGCATCAGCGATTGGCCGATTTCAATATTTACTGTGATTTGAACCAATCAGCATTTACATTAGTATAATAATATATAAAATTGGTAAAAAGTGAGTTTAACCATCTGTCAGATTGTATTTATTTATTTTTAAAATTATTTTATTAGGTATCTACTTGTTGAAGTAGATAAATTATAGCATTACACACATTTTGTTGAATAAAAAACATTTAATTAGGTTAATCATTTTTAGAATTATTATATTGCGATTTATTGAAATTAAAATTACGTATTTTGCAGTTGATCTTAGTTCAAGGCTTATTTTAAGTATTTACAAAATATTATTAAAACTAAAATTATTACTTAATTCTAACAACAAGAAAAACATTAGAGAAAAGTTATAAAAATAGAATTTATATTTAAGAAAATAACAACATCTCTTCTGAAACATTAGGCTTGTTTTAAAACTGTAGTTAAGATTTAACAACGTCTGATATGCAAATAACAGAAGCAGTAAAAGTCTGCATTTTCCAAATTCAGAAAATGTATTTGTTTGTACACGAAAACCCGGTGGGTGTAGCGAATAGTACTTGAAGATAAGTTTAGCTTTGACAATGAATTTTTTAGCAGGCATACAAATTGTGGCAGGGTCATGTAATTTTATTATTAGTTTTGTTGGAATATAAGTGGGGGCCTTGATCTTAGATTAAATTCAATGTTGAATAATATTACGCTTATTGGTGTTATTTTAATTATTAAGTAGAACGTCAGAGTCAATTTGTAGATTTGTTGAATAATTTTATAAAATTTAATGAGTGTTCCTTGATTCTACGATCCTTGAACCATGATTAGTTCAATGTAAAATGATTTTATTTCGTCCTTATAAGAAATTATCTTTATTATTTGGGGATTTGATAAGATTGACAAGGTTTCTTCTTTAATAACACATCAAAAAAACAAGTTTTTAACTTTCATTCTCACTGAAAATCTTGTATATAAAATTTATTAGTATCAAATCCCAGCTTGTTTTGATTTGTGTTTGTACAAAAGTAATACCGACCTTGACCAAGACATTCAAATATGCGTGTGCGTGCGTACCCAACGCATGCTAATATTTTTTGATAGCTTCAGGTTATTTATTAAATATTTATTGTGTTACACTTTTATTAACACTGGTATTTCGAAAGCCTATTGTTATTTTTTTAAATTTTTTGACCTTTACTTAAAAGGTTCACCGTTTTTGATAATTATTATTATAGTATTAAAAAAAAAAATTAACTCTCTAAAAATGAATTAGTCAAAAATTACTAATTTAATAGTGGCTGCTTTTTCACTTGTACCATGGTTAACCATGGCATACCATGATATCCCAAAATTTAACAGCCAATTCTTATGTAAAACTGTCCCCGGAATCCGAAAATCTCATCAAAAACAAAAAAAGTAGAACAGTTTTTGAGATATAGTCAATTCTCCATTTAATATGGAATTGACTATATCTCAAAAACTCCACTTTTATAATTTTTGACGATATTTTTGAATTCGGGAGACAATTTTACATAAGAATTGGCTGTTAAATTTTGGTTAACCATGGTACAAGTGAAAAAACAGCCACTAATAATTCATTTTTTAGAGAGTATAGTACTTGTACTTTGTAAAATAATAAAAAGGCAGATAAATATCTGTGACAATAACGTCGAGCAGAACAAGAAAACGCTGCTTCCGTTGATAACGAAACAAGTCCATCAGAAAAGAAAAATGCTAAAATAAACATGCTATTAATATAAATTCCATCCATGGTCAACAACTGCCCAAGACAATATCGTTTGTTGTGGTTATCGTATCGGAGGTTTTTTATTTAAATTGTTTTATAATTTGTCGAAAAAATCTACCATTTATTATTATCAATCTTAATAAAAATATTGCCACAATACTGATATGTTCAAGGGTATATTTCAATGTTAACGCGATTAGAAAATACATTCCAGGTTTTTTTTTTCGTTTTTGCAGAGCAAAAATATGTTTTGCTTATCAAGGTGTAAGATTTAAAAATGCAAAATAGCTTTTAAATTTTTAAATCATTTAATTGATCAATGTTTTGAAGTTTATAAATATTCCGAATATTTTTTACATTCAACATTTTTATATATGTTGCTCGACCTTGCCCACCTTAATCCAACACTGTATGCGCATACGTTTGACATTGGCAACTAAATGTGTATTTTCTGGAAAAACTTTTGAAATTTTTAGCAAACCTTGACAACTTGCTAATATTACCTACGACGTAACTTATCTCAGAATTCAATTCTAGTTATTAAAATTTTATCTATATATAGGTACCTATAGGTACATATAAAACACTTGCATTTTATCTATATATAGGTACCTATAGGTACATATAAAACACTTGCATCAAACATAATATTTTGTCAAATTTGAAGATAAAATTATTATTAGTAACCTTAAATTAGGATTAACAATTTATAGATATGTTATATTTTTGGCATACCAAATTTACGATAATTATTAATATTTTTGGAATAATTATCACCACGTGCAAAATTTATCCTCCAAGTATTAACAAACAAGGTCTATTGTAAATAAAATTTAACTCCAATTCAATGGCATTTCTAATGTTATCAATTTTAAGTAGTACATTTATAATAAAGTTCATGGCTTCATCATATAATTTAAAAAATTTGAATCTCTATAAAAAGCAATAAACCGTTTTCCACAGCACACTAGCCTAGTATTTTATAAGATTTTTTAAGAAACACCCTCAAAATAATCTAAGAATAAAAATCTTTTTTAAACAACAACTACCTTCAAATGATAATACCGAGGCCTTGTTATACACAAATACAATTGTCAGGGTCAGGTTTTTGTCATCACTACAGTTATCAACTTGAAGAGATTAGATTAGGTTGAAAACCAAATTAAATTAATTGCAAGCATACACATACAAATATTATTTATTATGTGTGCATAAGATTCATTTAAAGTTTTATTTTATTTTTATAATTGTATGACGTTTATCTACTACAAATATTTAGACATACTGCTATCCACGTCGAAAAGTTATTCAATAAACATAATATTTTGAAAAAAAATTGATTTGAAGTGTGAAATGAACATTTACCATTAATTGTGTTCAGTTAAGTTGAGGTTTTATCTTGGACCATTTTATTCTATAGTATACTTCCAATTACATTACGATAATGTTAAAATGTAGTTTTTAAATGCAAATCCCATATCTACATAAAATAATCGAGTATTCAAAGTGTCAACCTTCACTTTTTATTCGTTATCTTATCAGTCAGAGGTTAAATTATAATTTCAAGACACTTTTTGTAATTTATAAATATTGTTCTCAATGTAACAACAGTCCAGGATAAGGTTGAATGTAAAAACTTGTAAATAAAAATAACTGGAAATTTTGAAATGCTTCCTTATCATTTACTACTTGCCAAACCCTTTCATTTTATACCCATGTTAAGGGGTTTGTAAAGAAAATGGTGTTTTTCATTTCAATTAATAAAACATTTTCAATCCTAAAATATATTTTTTCTACTCCCACCTTTAAAACGCCCTTTATCGTACATGTTTCCATGACACTAAGTGACCTTTTAAATACACATTGACAAGTTGTGGCTTTACGGCGCTTTAGTCACGGGCTGAAGTTAGCAACAGGTTTTTAGTCACGGGCTGAAGTTAGTTTTAAGTTAGTTGACAGTTGTCAAATGTCATACAATCGTTAAAATAAAGTGCCTTTCTTGTAAAATAATACTAAATGTAAAAATTATTTTATTATCTCAATATAAAAATACAAAAATATTAAATAGTTTCTCAACGCCAATATTTGAAAAGTTTATATGAACATTGTACTGACCTTTTAATTTCGCCGGCAGTAAACTATAACTTAAATTCGGACACGGACTCTACTGTAAAGTCCTCATAAAACATTTCCTTTACTTTCACTGTGAAAAACTGTCAATTTTCAAGATACATTTCGATTTATAACCTTTATAATTGTGTTTATAAAATGTAAAAATGTGACATTTGACAGTTTTCCCTGTTGTTTGATAGATGGCGCTCTATACAAATTTTTGATTTAAATCATTTTAAGATAATAATAAGTATTTGTCGTAGAAAAAGTATGGTATGCACCTCGTTTATAAACTTTTCTATACACTCATTAACTTAAGCACTGGCTCGCAAGCTCGCTCGTGCCTAAATTAAATTCGTGTATAAAATGGCGTTTATCAAACTTGATACATAATATACTATTTTTCAAGAGTTCAATAATTTTTAAATTATAACACTTCAAAGTATATATAAAAAGACTTCATGATTATTAATACTAGTTCAAAAGTCAAATTATTATTAAACTTCTTACCGAAATAAAGCTAAAATGTCATCGTCAGTTGAACCTAACCTAAAAATGATGTGACAGAATTAAAAAAATTAAAAAATGCAATGCTTGAAAAAAAAAGTATATAATACACGGCAGCGAAAGCTTAATAATTGCCTCGCACACAATCTACTGCCTCAGCTGACGCCTCGGCAGTGAAATGTATGCTCAGCGATAATAAGTACTTTCTCCGCTTGGTCTTTAATGTTATATTTTATATATGTAACTTTAAGGGCGCACTGCAGACACCAATCTTACACAATATTGGTGTACAATTTTTAAATCTATTAGTGTTAGAATAAACACTAGATAGATTAAATTTCCAGCACTATTAGGAATAGCATTCACACTAAAAGTGAAATAAATGCAAATAAATTAGTGTCAAAGTGAAAACTTTTAGAGAGCTACCGAACACGGTTAGTGTGGTAATTGTTATTTTGCGCGTTACAAACAAGGTTTACTCTGTAAGTATTTGCAGTATTTAAGAATAATATTAAATAAATAAAACTTCTATTTCCTTAAACACACGTTGTATTTTCCTTTATTTCCCTTGACTCACCCTAACGCAGCGCGTTAAGGGATTACGCGTGGCATTAACCTTGGCCTGCTTGATCTAGTTGTGCGCCAGAAGGGGGCGCTGCTGGTCACCCCTGGATTTTCGCCCCCGCTAACCTTCACCGAAACGTTCATCTCCGCTTGCGGAAAAGCGATTTTCCCGAGACCTCGAGTCTTGGAAAATCAAATTTTCACCAGAACCCGGCCGTTAGAACGGAAACGGGAAATATGCAAATTGCGGCGAGATTTTTAAGGGACATGACTTAATTAGTGGAGAATGTTTTATTAGTTTTTTCTAGATATTTGAAATTACTTTAATTAAAGTTACTTCACGACAACATGTTATTTTTAAATTTTGCCTATGGGCAACCACAAACACAATCCGGGTAATCCCCGAGGATATTAAGAAAACTCAAGGTCAACACAAGAACATTTTATTGCTTTCTGCATGGAGGTCGATAAATCAACCCCCGACATGCTAGGAGGAAAAACGCGTAGAGAAGTTTTTGCAGGATGAGTCAGCCTATATCCCCCTTAGTCAGAGAAGAAAAGTTTTGATGAAAGTTGAAATGAATAAGCGGGAATGCGACTCACTTCGAGAGTGGGGGTAGTTTCAAGTTTACGACATCATGGGATTTGTCCAGAAATCCCCATAAAGCATCCCCCGAATATTGCAGTAGGTTTAAAGATCCATAATGGCTTGGAATTGAGTCATTTAACATGATAAAAACTTTGTCCTATATTTTATATTAAGAACAGGCTTGACTTAATGAGAAGTTTTTGGTAATATTATTATTATTATTATTATTTATTCTTATTTGTAATTTAAGTTAATACTTATTTGAAGGATGCTTAATATAAGAATAAGTATTTTTTGATACAAATGTTATAATTCTTGGCGATACAATATTTACTTTTGGATTAAATATAAGGTATTTTTATATAAGTTAAGCAATAATTGTTTCAAATATTCTATTCTTTTTTAACTTTTGCTAGACTTTAAATAAAGTTTAGGATAAAATGACCATGTTTATTTATATTTTAACATTTAAGCAAGAATAATAATCTGCTTGTTTTAAGATTAATATTTAGTTTAATGTTAGTTTTAGCCTTGCCAATTTTGGGTCAATCATCTTGTTTCAACTGGACTTGATTTTAAGCTACTGTTTATTAAAGTGCTCCTTTCATGTTGCATTAGTATGTGTATGTGTACTTTAAGCTCAATTAAAATTGATCCAATTAGTGTATGAAAGTGCATACTCCCTCAGCAATATTCTAGAAACCATGCAAGCTGATGGAGCTGGAGTTAAATGACCTAAACTACGGGTTGTTGCCTTCTTAGGTTTTATAATTTGCAGACTACACGTCAGAAATGTATCCTTAGTCAAGTTTAAATACAAATATTTAAGAAAAATATTTTTTCGGTAAATGATATAAACTTGACGTTGCCCAAAAACTATAAATGACTTGGCAGTAAATCAAAGGTCAAATTTTATTTACGTAGGTAGGTACCTGTAAAAAATCATTAAAAAACTAAAAAAAGATTTGACTTATTTTGGGTAGTGAGCAACCAAAATTTGAAGAACATTATTTTATATCTTAACATAACATATTGATCCAAATGCATTACCATAATGTTTTATCCACCCCTGTGTTGAAACTACCCCTAGACAAAGTCAGCAGAATAAAATAATCCCCTTTTTTGCTTTGCAAGTATTCTTAAAAGTATGCTACCTACCTCTAAAAGAAAATTAGTTAAAAACTACTCTCTAAAAATGAATTTGTCAAGAATGACTAATTTAATACCATGGAATGCCATGGTATCCCAAAATCTAAATCTAATATAAAATTGTCCCTTGAATCTGAAATTACCGTCAAAAATTATGAAAGTGAAGCAGTTTTTGAGATACAGTCAATTCCATATTAAATGGAAAATTGACTTATATTTATCTAATTTTTAACTTCGATGAATAAAATGCTGGGTCTCTTCAAATTATCATTTAGTATGCGGTCCAGTAGTTTTTCTTTTTCTGTATTATTTTTGGGCCTTCCATTCTACCTCCCTAAACCCATTTAGCATAAGACTCATTTTTGCGAATTAATGTTAAAAAAAGTATCACGTTGTAATTGTGAGTTGGTGGTGTGGTCAAAAAGGCACTAGGGTCAGTGTCCGTTCGTTGTTCTTTCAGATCCAAGTCCAATGACCGTCCATCTCACTCACCTTTACTACCACCATGTGCAAATAGCAAATCAGCTATTAATAGAGAGCGGATTCTTAAGTTTATACTATTTTCAACGTCGTTCTATTATAATAATACATCAGGATTTCTAGCAAGGTGTCAAAATTTCCGTGATTTTCTCTATGTACCTAAAATAAAAAATGTTTTTAACAGTAAATAACAAAAAAGTTGTGACCAATGAAAAATAATAATATTTATCTCTTCGCGGTCTATAATTTAAACTTTATTGTTGTCAACATTCGATAAAGAAATACCTTGTTATGGCCTAGGCCGATAAAAAATTTTATGAGGAAAGTAATTAGTTCGATTTTTTCTCGCTTTTGACAAATATATCCTTTTCTAAGAAATTAACGTATTAAACTGGTTTAATTTATTTATAATAAGCACTAATTTGTTTGTTTTACTGTTAACGTTTAATATTTTTCATTAAATTATTGTAAAATTAAATATGAATAATAAAACAAAAAGTGAGGTTAGGCAACCAAGAAAACGCACGATTCTTTTTCTTCGATTTAAATTATCTTTAAGTTTTCAGTGAAATTAAATGTTAAACACAGCTTAAACATTCCAAACTACCTATTTTTTAAATAAAAATCCAAACAAATTGAAATTAGATACCTACCTATGTATTAAACATTTAATCGAATTCAATGAAATAGCAAAAATCCATTTCTACTTAAATCATGTTGCTAGGTATTGTCAAACTATTACTGCTTCTAAAAGCAATAATAATTATTGTACATTTAATGTAATCTTTAGCTAATAAATAAATGAGATTCTAAAAAAGTGAGGTTAGGCCGCTTTGATGTTAAATTAAATTGACTGAGCTTAGCACAAAAAGCCTTACTTCTTAACCTAATGACATAAATAACTATTTTTCTTGAGAAAGTTGTATTTTGTATACCTAACTAACAGCCCTGGATTAAGGGGGGGGCTAGGGGGGCTATAGCCCCAGGCCCCGCCACTCGGGGCCCCCGACACCACCGACAGAATTTTTTTTAAACAAAATATTAAATAGGTACACATTTTTAATTTCTACATAAAATAAAACTACTATAATATTGTTTATTAAAAAACATACTGAAATATAATTTGTCATGTTTTGTTAGCGGCCGACAGTAGCTGATCGGTACTTATTAAAAGATGATTTATTTTATCAACCCTTTAATAGTCGCCGATAGACCAAAGTGTGTCAAAAGGCCGCGGCCGCACGGCACATTTAAAACAATTAATCCTTTGACGGCTAGCCGCCAAAGGATGGTAAAAAATTAGACGCTTTATTTCTGGATATTACTTGGGTTAGTTAGTTATATTTCCACTGTGCGTGCATGAGGTAAGGTAATAAAAAGTTGAGAAAAAGTGCAATTTAATTTAAAAAAATGTCAAGTGGCAGAAAATACCTTAGCGGATTTGCTAAACGTAAGGTAAGATCAGTTCCAACCAAATTACGATTAATTTACTTAAAATAAAATGGTATCCCTTTTTACCATTTTACCCTCGATATCGATATGACAAATACTTTACCATTAGGTACAATTAATATTAATAATAGTAAATAGTAAAATAGTAAAGTAAAGTTTAAACTATAGGCTCAAAACTAACAAAACAAATGCAAACTACTCCTATTTTTAAATTTTAAAAAGAATATTAATTTTGAAAATATATTTTCAAAATTTATTAGTGGGGCATTCCACGTTACTCGGTAATTTTTGTCCCGCCCGTCACAATTAAAAATTGTGAGTAAAAACCACAAGTTATTAAATTAATATTTTCTAATATTATTTTTATTGTGCTTATAACTTATTAAAAGCATAATAAAAGATATTTTAAAATAAATTGTATAACTTGTAGTTTTTACTCACAATTTTTAATTGTGACGGGCGTGACAAAAATCCCCGAGTAACGTGGAATGACCCTAGTGTTCCTTTCCTTTTAGACCTTTTAATTGAAAAGGATTTATTAGAAGTATTTCCAAAAATTTATATAGCTTTAAGAATTTATTTATGCATTCCAATAACAAATTGTGAAGCAGAAAGGTCATTTTCAAAACTTTCATTTATAAAAAACAAATATAGAGCTAGCATGGGTGATGAAAGATTATCTCATTTAACTTTAATGAATATTGAGAATGACCTTTTGTCTTCATTAAACTTTGATGATCTAATTGACGAATTTTCTAATAGAAAAGCTCGAAAAAAATCGTTGTAAAGATCAATAATAAATACCTAAGTTGTTTTTTATTGGCTTTTTATTATTATTACTAAAAATTACATTTTTCTTTTAATAAAGAACTTTGAGGGCCCCCAACATTTTTTAGCCCCAGGCCCCCTTTTGGCTTAATCCGGCCCTGCTAACTAAGTCAATATATAAATCAGTATCTCCAAGCCGAATAAAAACAGACCTACATCATTAATGTCTATTTCGAGATTAGCCAAGACGCAGCATCGACCGAAATAAAAAAAATAAAAAACAGACAAACGCGTTATTTTCGTCGACCGAACCCTTTATCTTGCCCTTGATGTTTCAAGGTATCTCGCTCTTGTGAAATCAAGTCGCCTACCTACGCCCCTAAGTTGCCGAACGAGTAGGCCTCTAATGTCTCAGTGGGCCTTGACAAGGCTCGTGCCATCGTCCGCTCGCAGCCCTCTGAGATGCCTTGCTCGATCTTAAGTCCAAAAATAGTTTGAATTGTTTACAAAGAGAACTTTGTTTGGGGATGGTGTGTCTCAAGGTCCCCTACTCCCACTCATTTTTATAGTAAACCAAGCCCAAATAGGATGAAAGGAAATATAAATTTAAATATCATAGTGTGTATATTTTTTATTCATGACAATTTTTTATAAGATTAATTGTCATCAAATGACTATACTAAATTTTATTGAAAATTTTTGTATCCAAATTAAAAATGAACAATAATAACTACAAAAATTTACTCTGTCAAGTTATCCATGAAAAAACATAGAAATGAAATTAAACTAATATTAACTTGGTATAAATATTCCTATGCCAAACA